CAAAATCCAACACCCATTTTTAATAAAAACTCTCAGTAAAGTGGGAATAGAGTGAACATATCTCAACATGTTAAAGGCCATATACGACAAACCTACAGCCAACATCATTCTCACTGGGCAAAAACTAAAACCATTTCCCCTAAGAACAGGAACAAGACAGGGATGTCCACTTTCACCACTCCTGTTCGACACAGTGCAGGAAGTGCTAGTCATAGCGATCAGATAAGAAGAAGAAATAAAAGTCATCCAAATTGGAAAAGAAGTAAAACTGTCATTATTCGCAGATGACATGATATCGTACCTGGAAAACCTTAAAAAGTTCATCCCAGGAAACTATTAGATTTAATAAATGAATTTGGCAAGGTAGCAGGATACAAAATCAACATCCAGAAATCAATGGCATTTTTATACACCAATAATGAACTCTCTGAAATAGAAAAAAAATCCCATTTACCATTGCAACAACAAAAAAATAAGGATTCTAGGAATAAACTTAACTTAGGAGGTAGAAGACCTACACTTGGAAAACTACAGAACATTGAAAAAAGAGATAGATAGAGGAAGACATAAACGAGTGGAAGAATATACCATGTTCATGGATTGGTAGAATCAACATCATTAAAATGTCCATACTACCCAAAGCAATCTATAGATTCAATGCAATCCCCATTAAGATACCAATGGCATATTTTACAGACCTAGAACAAACTCTCCAAAAATTCATCTGGAATAAAAATAGACCCCAAATAGCTAAGGAGCAGCAAGCCAAGCTGAGCGGTAAGGAGAAGCAAGCAGGCAGGTGGTAAGGAGTGAGGGGTCCGGAACTGTGAGAGGGATGTCTGCCTGCTGGTTTAGGTGGGGAGTGAGCCTAAGCCAGCAGGCGGACATCCCCTGAGGAATCTCAGACTGCAAGAGGGTGCAGGCCAGGCTGAGGGGACCCACCCGCTCCCCCTAGGTCCAGTATGCAAATTTTGTGCACCGGGCCTCTAGTATGCATATAAGATCCTTGGTTAATCTCCCCACCACCCACCTCCCTTCCCTCTGAAATCCTCACCATCCCCAAGTGTGGAGGACTCCAAGGGTGGTGCTCCTCACTCCCTGTGTCCCACTGGGAGCAGAGCCTACCAGGCAAAGCCCCAGAGGCTGGACAGCCCGCCATGCTCTGGAACAAGGAGGAGCCTGTCCCATGAGATAACGGTGATGAAGAAAGCCTTTCTGGCTCCCAGACAGCTTCGAGGAAGCATGTAGAGTTTATTCCTTTTGAAATCTGCTCATTCCTCTCTGCACTTTCTTCCCCACCACACCCCACTGTGCAGAGAATGCCAGCCTCGGTTTCCCAGGTGTCTCGCCTGCGGGTCTCCCCTTGATGCCCTCGGTGTGTGTGAACACACAGAATCCTCCCCTGCTACCCGGGGTTGAGTGACACCCCACCCCACCTGGGGTCTCACATCGCAGTTCCTTCCCAGGGAGCTCCAGGTCCCAGAACACTTGTTGTGTCCCCACAGGACAGAGACTCTGGGGCAGCGTCCAGGGTTAGTGTGTGGCCTTGTGAGTGGAGAGTGGTGTCCACTACATGGCTGCTGAGATAGGAATGATCACTGGCCTTCCCTGTCTCCCATGTTCCCACCCCTGGCTGGCTGACCTCCACAGACATCTGCAGCCTGTGACTAGGGCATCTGGCCCACTTTTACTTTTGCAGAAAATGATCTCCAAGGGGAAGGGGAAGCAGAAGGTGGGCTGAGGTCCTCCCTGGGTGTGATTTGGGTGTCTCTCTCACCCTCCCTGGCCTCCGGGTTCCCAGGAGTGGATGTGACTAGGGCATCTGGCCCACTTTTACTTTTGCAGAAAATGATCTCCAAGGGAAAGGGGAAGCAGGAGATGGGCTAAGGTCCTGCAAGGGTGTGATTCGGGTTTCCCTCTCACCCTCCCTGGCCTCCGGGTTCCCAGGAGTGGACGTGGGCAGGGGATGGGTGATCTTCAAGGGCTGTCCGGGTCCTGATGGTATCAGAGCCCGACCTTTCTCCTCCGATGAAGGTCACTGTTCTGCTTTCACCCTCATCTTCCTGTGCCGCCTTCTGTAAATCTTGCAACATTTATTCTAGTTTCTCAGAGATCAACCCTGATAAACACAGTTCCCCAGTGGGAACTTGTTACCCTGACCCGAGACAGGCTGCTGTGGGGCTGAGGGGGGCTGCAAGAGGGTCAGAGGGTGCTCAGGGTGGATAATGAGGGCGGTCACCCAGGTCTCTGGGCTGTGGGGTGTCCTCTCCGCTCTGTGCAGAGGGGACGAGCTCAGGTGCGGAGGTTCCTCTTCTGTGGACGGGGAGGTCCTGTGCTGCTCCCCAGCTTTCCTGGTCTCTCTGCAGTCCCCGCCCACTGTCTTGCTTCTCTTTTCACCCACAGGAGCCCAGATGCCCTCAGAGATGCTGCGGCTACTGCTGCCCTTGCTGTGGGCAGGTGAGTGCCCGAGGGGAGGGGGCCGGCAGGGCGGGGACTGCGACTGACCCTTGTTTCTCTGCAGGGTCCCTGGCTCAGAAGGAAGGATACAATCTGAAGGTACAGACGCCCGTGACAGTGCAGGAGGGCCTGTGTGTCCAGGTGGCCTGCAACGTGTCCTACGCCAAGGATGGATGGGATGATTCTACACCAGCTCACGGCTACTGGTACAAGGGAGAGGCAGATGCATCTGACAAGGTTTTAGTGGCCACAAACTACCCATCTCAAAAAGTGCAGAAGGAGACCCAGGGCCGATTCCACCTCCTCGGGGATCCCAAGACCAACAGCTGCTCCCTGGACATCAGAGATGCCAGGAGGACAGATGACGGATTTTACATTTTTCGGGTGGAGAGAGGAAATTCTAAATTTTCTTACAAAGACAACAAGCTCACCGTGCGAGTGACGGGTAAGGAATGGGCTCCAGGAGAGGCCACAGGAGAAGTTCACAGTGGCCCTCGGCAGGGCTGGGCTGGGACCCCATCCTGGAAGGGGGTCGGGGTACAGCCTGTTGGGCTCTGAGGGAGGAGCTGGACCAAAGCTGAGGCTTCTCTCAGGGCCGCACCTGGAACCCTCCCTCCTGATCCCCTGTCTCCCCCTCCTCACCAGCCCTCAAACACACACCCCACATCTTCAACCCGGGGCCCCTGGAGAGCGGCCGCCCCAGGAACCTGACCTGCTCTGTGTCCTGGGCCTGTGAGCGGAGCACGCCCCCCATCTTCTCCTGGACGTCAGCTGCCCACAGCTCCCTGGGCCCCAGGACCCGCCTCTCCTCCGTGCTCATCCTCACCCCACGGCCCCAGGATCACGGCACCAACCTCACCTGTCAGGTGCATTTTCCTGCCGTTGGTGTGACCGTGGAGACAACCATCCAGCTCAACGTCACCTGTGAGTTCTGGGTTGGAACAGCAGGTCCCTGAGGGTGTGCAGAGTAGAAGGGCCAGGCAGGTGTGCTGGGTGCTTTGTCCTGGAGGCCTGTCCTTTTAGGGGACCTCTAGGACACAACCCTGTCCCTCTTGCATTTCTGTTGCCTCTGGGGGTGGACGGGTGCCACCTTCACCTGTCAGGTGACCTTGCCTGGGGCCAAATGACCACGATGAGGACCATGCCCCTCAACATGTCCTGTGAGAGCTGGACCAGGACCTGGGGGTCCCTGATGGGGATCCCGAGGGCAGCAGAGATGGAGGTAGAGGACCTCAGACAATGGGTGCAGGGTCATGAACCTGGTTTGGGAAGGGGTCAGGGGGATGCCTGCTCCCACCCTGTCCCCATTTAAGCAGCTCCTGGGGACCCAGAGCCAATGTCTGCCCAGCCCTCACCTCTGACTTTGGTCCACCTTGTCTTTCTGTCCCAGACTCTCCACAGAACTTGACCATAACTGTCTTCCAAGGAAATGGCTCAGGTAGGAGGGAGCTTGTCATGGGCTGTAGGGAGGAGGGCCTCTCCCAGGTCAGGGCAGGACAGGGCCGGTCCTTGCCTCATCCTGGACTCACCCCGTGACCAGACAGCCCCAGTGGTCCCTCTTCTTCCTCAGTCCCTGTGGCTGGTCTCCAAGCCCCCTGCCACCTGAACCAGGAGAACGAGGCACCCTCCACATGGCTGAGCTGCCACTCGAGGCCCCTGGTCCTCCATCTCCTGACGAGTCCTCCAGGCTCAAGTTTGCATTTTCCTCCAATAGTTTAATTTGTGTATTTCCCAACAGGCAATGTAGTCACACTAGAGGCCTTGTGCACACAATTTGTGCACAGGGTAGAGTCCCTACCTGCCTCCTTTCCCTCACTCCCTCAGCACCAGGCCATCTCCGCCGCTGGTCACCCGCCATATTCTGCACCACCCCCTGGTGGTCAGTGGACATCATAGTGAGCAATCAAACTCCCGCTCTTCCGGTCAAACTCCCAAGGGGACAATTTGCATATGCCCAGTGCATGAAAATTCGTGCACTGGAGCGGGGTCGCTCAGCCTGGCCTGCCCCCTCTCACAGTCCAGGAGCCCTCAGGGGATGTCCTACTGATGGCTTAGGCCCGCTCCCCCAGGCCTCACAGCAGCCCGGGCTCACGGCTGCCTGAGGCCACAGCTATTATGAGCCCAAGGCTGCCTGAGCTCCAGTCCTCGCAGCCACTGTGGCTTTGTCCAGATGGACATCTGGAAGGTGTCCACCCTAATTAGCATATTATTAGTATAGATGGGCAAAAATGGAAAGGCACTAAAGTCTGCCCTCAGATGCCTGGTCGCCTCAGAGGGAGAGAGATAGAAACATCAATGATGAGAGAGAATTATTGATTGGCTGCATTCTGCACACCCTCCCACTGGGGACTGAGCCCCAACCCGGGCATGTGCCCTTGGCCAGAATTGAACCTGGGACCCTTCCGTCCATAGGCTGACGCTCTACCCACTGAGCCAAACCAGCTAGGGCTTCGTGCACATCTTCTACTAACGAAGACCCAGGGCGTTCATCTTACTCTGCTAACCTCAACACTGCAACAAATAATCTGCCTCCACTTTCACAACCCTGTGTGGGTGTCTGCGGGGTCAGTTCCTAAAAGCAACACATAATAGCTACTACTTCACACGTTCTTTGCAAGTTTGATGGAAGTGGTCAGGTTGTTCTGCACGGAAGGCAGACAAGCCTGCGGTCCCACCAGCCGGAGGCTGTGTGTCTGTTCCTCTCCTCTGCTCTCCTCCCGCATCCTTCTGCTTCCTCTCCACCTCGCAGTCACTCTGACCCTCTGTCTCTTCTTCTGCAGCACCCACAGTCCCGGAGAACAGCTCGTCTCTTTCGGTCCCGGAGGGCCAGTCCCTGCGCCTGGTCTGTGTGGTCAACAGCAACCCCCCTGCCAGGCTGAGTTGGGCCAGGCGGAACCAGAACCTGAGTGCCTCCAGGCCTGGGGTCCTGGAGCTGCTTCCAGTGCAGGTCGGGGATGAAGGGGAGCTCACGTGCTGGGCCCACAACTCTCGGGGCTCTCTGCACTCCTCCCTGAGCCTCTCTGTACAGAGTGAGTGCCCCAGTGGATGGGGGGGAAGGGAGGGCACCCGCTCCACCCTCACAGTCCACCCTGCAGCCCCCTGACCTTCAGAGAGGAGGTCAGCTCTGCTCTGGGCTCAGCTGTGAAAGCCCGAAATTTCCCTGGGATTGAAAGTACCCCTGCCCTCTTCCTGCCTCGCCAGTGCTGTGGAGGTGGGGTGGGGCCGGGAGGGAGAAGCTCCTGTCAGCTGCACCAGGACAACTAGGCACCCTCCACATGGCTGAGGCCCCTGATCCTCCATCTCCTGATGAGTCCTCCAGGCTCACGTTTGCATTTACCTCTGAGAGTTTAATTTACGTATTTTTGCACAAGCAATATAGTCACATGGCCAATAATGAAGAAAGCACTGCAGTTGGCTCAGGCCAGGTATCTCAGTTGCTTCTATCATCGTCCCAGTGTCCCAAGGTTGTGGGTTTGATCTCAGGTCAGAGCACACGTGATAATTAACCAACGAATGCATAAATAAGTGCAACAACACATCGATGTCTCCCTCTCTCTTTCTCCCTTCCTCTCTCTCTCTCTCTCTCTCTCTCTGTAAATCAATCACTAAAAAATCCCCCAAAATGACATTTCCCTTAGAGTAAGGGCACTAAAGTCTGCCCTCAGATGCCTGGTCCCTCACTCCCCCCTCTCACACCACCCTCCAGGGAGTGAGCAGTGTCCACAACTGCTGTGAGCCTTGGTTTGTTCACCTGAAGGACCCAACAGGTGCTTTGCCATCAGTAGGACAGACGTCCCCGTCCCTCTCCGAGCCTGGGGTTCTGTCCATGGCATGGACGGACTCTGGCTGTGTGCACAACTTCTTCTAATGGGGAACTATTATTCAGGCAACGTCTTCTTAAGTTGTTGTCTGAATGACAGTCTCTTGTATGGATGTATGGATAGTCCAGTTCTTTTCTTGATCAGTTGATGGACCTTTGGGTGTTTCCACTTTCTGGCGGTTATCATACTGCTGTGAATATTGTGCACGTTTTTTGTTCGAACATGTTTAATGTTTTTGAGGTCATGTACCTGGGAGTGGAATTGCTGATTCAAATGGTACTTTTTATGTATAACTTTCTGAGGAAATTCCAGATTGTATTCCACAGTGGCAGCATCAGTTTTCATTCCCACCAGCAAAGTATAAGGCTTCCAATTTCTCCACACAGTTGCTAACATTGGTATTTTCCTTAAAAAAAAATGATAGGCTACTAGTGGGTGTGAAAGGCTACTTCAATGTGGCTTTGATTTGCATTTCTGTGATAATTATGACGCTGCTTATTTTATCGCGGAATTATTGTTCATTTGTACGTCACCTTTAAAGAACTTTTTAGGTCAAGTCTTCTGTCCATTGTTTGTTAGGGTTCTTTGACTTTTTGCTGTTGGGTTGTCAGAGTTCTATATATGGGAAGGATACTAAACCTTGTCCAATCTATAACTAGCAAATATTTGCTCCCATTAAATGGGTTGGCTTTTCACTTTCCCCATAGTGTCCACTGATGAACAAATGTTTCATTATGATGAACTGCAACTTAAGCATTTTATTTTCTGTGCTACTGCTGGGGATCAGGGCGGTGTCTGGGGTTAGGGCCCAGGTGGTCCCGCATCCAGTGATGCAGGAACATCTGGGGAATGACTTCCACAGTCCTACTTGGAGCAGAAGGAACCGGGATTGTGGACCAGCAGGTGACTCCATCCTGGTCCCTCTTTCCTGCAGGATTATCAGGACCTGTGACAGAAATGATGTTGGTGGCCATCGTGGAAGCAGCTGTCAAGGGCCTCGTCCTCCTCCCCTGCCTCCTAGTCCTCATGTGAGTTCCGATTGGAGGAGGGGAGGCCTGGGGAGGACAGGGGGCATGAGGCCGAGTGCTGGACCAAAGCCCTGGATCCTGATGGGTCAGGGACAGGGCTGGCAGGAGGTGAAGGGGTCCTGGGTAAGGACTCCATACAGACAGTCCTCATGAATGCCATGCCAGTCAAGTGCCCAGGGTGGGAGGTACCTGCAGTGGTCAGGAGAGTGTGTGGAGTCAGAACTTCTCTCTCTCACTTCACTCTCTTCTCCACCACTTGGCAGGCAACAGGGGGTTGGGTCTGCTGCCCACTGGACCTGATGTGGTCAAAGTGAAAGACACTGGTCTCTTCCCTCAGAGGCAGGTACCACAGGATGAAGGCACTGAGGCCAAAAGGGGGCATGAAGGATGCAGACGCAGTCTCAGGTTAATTGCTCAGGTGAGTGATGGAAGCGTCTCACCACCCAACATGCCACTGACACCTCCCACAGGTCGGCCCCCGGGTTTGCTAAAATGGAGCTGTCACCTTCCTCTCCAAACCCACTTCTCTTCTGGGTTCCCCATCACGGTGATGACATGGTGGCAACCCTTGTCTAAGGCCAGGTCTTGGGTGTGGGTCTACATTTTGCACCCCTTCCCTAAGTCTTATTCATCCCACTTCCTTATCACAGCCTATAGTGATGGCCATCTCCACCCCATTATGCTGGGATTGTTCCTGTGGCCTCATCTCTTCCATGGGTCCCTGAACCCAGCAGCTACCTGTCTCCAGATTGTGTTTCCAGAGACATATCGCCTACTTCCTGCACAGTGTGAACAATGACGCTTCCTCTCCATGGCCAGAGATGAGGTGCAACCACCACAGGCTGGACTTGAGGGCTCAGCGTGGCCTGTCTCCTGCTGGACTCTCCACTGAATTCTATTATCTCCCTGCATCTCGCATCATCTCCACATCTGGCTGGGCCAGGGTCTTTGTGACTCTGAGACTTTGCATGTGCAGTTCCTTCTGCTGAAATGCCCTTCCCTCCCCATCCCTACATCTCCAATGGATGATCATTCTTCAGGTTAAGTTATATGTCACTTCATTGTAAGTGTGTGATTCTTGTAGATTTTTGAACAAAATAATATTTAGTCATTCATTTAATGACTGTTTAGCAAGTATACCTGTACACGTACATTGTTGTGGGTAATGGGGATGCAACTATGAACCAAGCCTCAGAAATCTCTCTCACCCAGAAGCTGTCATTTTGGAGACAAGAGGATAGAATTAATCTATACTAATAAATGGGTAATATGCTAATTAGATCAGACGTCCTTTCGGACAAAACCATGGTGGCGGGGTCAAGGCAGAAGTAGTTAGGGGTGATCAGGCCGGCAGGGGAGAACAGGTAGGGCAATCAGGCTGGCAGGGGATTGAAGTTAGGGGGATCAGGCCAGCAGGAAGGTGAGTGGTTAGGAGCCAGCTATCCTCGAGTGTGAGAGGGATGTCCCCTGAGAGGTCCCGGAGTAGAGAGGGTGCAGGCCAGGCTGAGGGACATCGCCCCTCCCGTGCAGAAATTTCATGCACCAGGCCTCTAGTAATCAATAATTGAAAATATTAGAGCCTGTTCAATGGCCATATGTGTGTGTGGAGGATTCATGCAAAGAAAGGATCAAGTGGCATGTGGGGGCACAATTCCTGATATTTGAGAGTATAAACTGTGATGTCTGAGCCTAGACTTGATGCTGGTGAGAGAGCAGACTGTGTGTTGCCCTGAAGGAAATTAGCCAGGAAGATGGGGAGCAGTGCCCCAGCTCTGAGGCAGAAGCAGCTTGGTGTATGATGGAGACAAGACTCAGGTGTGACAGACCAGGGTCTCCTGGGAGGGGAAACCCCTGGAGGAAGGTGCAGACCCCTGGTGTTCAGCCTAGTGAAAGCTTGCAGCAAATGCAGAAACTGGAAAGCCATTGATCTGATCAGAGATATGGTTGAAGGTTCTTTGTAACAGGATGCCCATGGTCGCTCTGTTCAGAATAGACCACGGCTGCCAAATAGTGATTGTGGAGGACGCAGAAGGCATGAGGGCACGGTGGTTGAGCTAGAAAGGTGGGGTGGAGAGTGAGGTTAAATTTCTGGATATATATCAAAGGTCAAGTTGACTGAATTTCCCTATGGATGTGGGTATTGAGTGTGTCAAGAGCAAGGGTGGTACCCAAGTGTTTCCCCTGGGTATCAGAAAGGGTGCGTTTGATGGACATAGAGGAGGGTTTTGAGGGTGATGTTAATTCTGAGAAGCCACTTCATATCCAACTGGGGCCATCAGTGAGAGACCTGTGTGAAGGTCTGGAGATCAGGAGAGGGGTCCAGACGGGAGAGATGAACATGTCAATGTGAGATGAGGACAACAGGTGAGGGAGGAAAAGGACTGATGGCACATAGTGAAGAGTAGACACAAGGAAACACATTGTCATTGGAGATCCTGACATAGGGGTTTCAATGGTTGGAGGAAAGGGTATGAAGACGTGATTGGAGCAACTTCAGAAATGTATTGGAGGATGGGATGTGGGAATAGTGGGTCCAGACAACTCTTTGAGGAATTTGGCTACAAAGAGGAACAGAGGGATGGGTCTGGAGAAGGAGGTCTTTTCTCGACTCCTCCTCTGGGTCCTCCCAGAGGTGCTCCATGAATTCCTGCCTGTATTGATTTCCTGTGGCTATTGTGACAAATTACCACACACACTGTGTCTTTAAAAAATGGAAATTTACTCTTAGTTCTTGAGACCAGAAATACAGGTAGGGAGTAAAAATATGTTCTTCCTCTGCCCTTCTAAGTTGTTGACAGAGACCTCAGAAACAAAGAAAGATTGGGTGCCACATCTTGGGGTAACGTCCTACACCCCATCATGTGTAATGGATTCTATTGTGTAGAAATCCAGTTGTTGGTTGGGATGCACTCGGTCCAGAGGCTGGAGGAGAGAACCCATCTCTTGCTTCTCCGGGTAATGTAGTGCCGGCTGTCCTTGGTTTGTGGCTGTGTCACTGAGACCTGTCTACTGGTCACATGGCCTTGCCCTGCTCTGTGTGTAGAAAGTCACCTGCTACTTCTATCTTGGGGACCCTTTTGACTGGATTCAGGGATCAAACCTAATAATCTAGGATGCTCTTCACGTGAATATTCTTACCTTAATTCCATCAGCAAAGTCCCCTTTTCCCTTACATGGTAACATTTTGGGATACCAGGGATTAAGACCTGGGTGTCTCTGGGTGGCCACCATTCAGCCCTCTGCACTGTCCATGTGACCTTTGGCAATCCTTGACTGTCCCCATCAGCCTCCAGACCTTGTTTTCTCTGCTCTTTCATGTCCTGATACATTAGTGGGTCACCTCATGAGTGACACATATTTTAAGAAACAGAAGCTTGCTGTTCTTTAAAGTTACTATTAAGAGAACTAAAGGCCCAAGTCGTGTGGTCAGTGGTTGAGTGTTCACCCAGGAACCAAGCTGTCTCTGGTTTGATTCCCATCCAGGACACATGCCAGGTTTGTGGGCTCCATCCCCATTAGGGGGCACGCAGGAGGCAGCCCAGGGATGCTTTTCTCCCTGGTCAATATTTCTATATCTCTATCCTGCTCACTTCCTCTCTGTCTGAAAATCAATACAAATAATTTAAAAAAAAAAGAGCTAAAGGAAAATTTACAGACTTGAAGAAAAATATCTGCAAATATATACTTGTATCCAGAATATATCCAGGACTCTCAACAAAGCAATAAACAACAAATTAACCTGTATGTATAAAAAATGTCACTCAACAACAAAATAACCAAAACTATTTAAAATTTGACAGATGATTTCAATCGATATTTTATCAGGACATATACATGGTCAATAAACACATAAAAATATGCACAACATCACAAATATAGGAAAATACAAATTAAAACCACACAATGAGGTGCCATCATTATTCCCTAAGATGGTTAATATTAGAAAAACACACAAGAGGTTAAAAAAGGCATCAGAGTAAGTGGATGCTGCACGGACATGCTCCCAGGAACAAACCGGAATTGCAACTAAAATACAGAAAAGCTTCCCAAATAATCAATGGAAAACTAGCAGGAGAGAACCCTGGTACCCAGGAACTGAAAGTGGAGACTGTATAGAGCAGGGGTAGGCAAACTTTTTGACTCGAGGGCCACAATGGGTTCTTAAACTGGACCGGAGGACCGGAACAAAAGTATGGATGGAGTGTTTGTGTGAACTAATATACATTCAAAGTAAACATCATTACATAAAAGGGTATGGTCTTTTTTTTTTTTTCCAGTTTTATTCATTTCAAACGGGCTGGATCATCCGGCCCGGCCGTAGTTTGCCCATGGCTGGTATAGAGACTGGTAGGAGGGGTGGCAGCGCAAAAGGGCTGGCCAGGCACCCACAGGCAGCAACTGAAGCACAGGAGCAATATCTCATCTGTGGGGTGGTGCCACTGAGAACTCTGGGATCTATTCCCAAGCTGGGTCACCCAGCAGAAAGCACCAAAATTGAAAAGGGTACCCACATAACATCTGGCTTAAAGAGCCAGTGCGCAAAATTCCATGTGGAGCCACCCACCTTGTGCTCCGACAGAGAGAAGGTGAAGTGGACTGGAGCTGTAAGAGCAGAAGCCAGGACTGGGGTCTTGGGGATAGAGCTCAAAAGGCAGGCACCCCAAGTTTCCCAGGCTGAGTCATTCCCTCACACAGTGGAGGACATCTTTCCCACACAGACATTTGCCTTGACTGGGGGGAAGATAGTTGACACAACTTATTGGAAAACAACTTGTCCTGAGGCCACTTAGGAGATTAAAAATAGGAATTAGCCTTCAGAATGAAACAACTGCCCCACCTGTTGAAAAAAACTCTCCCCACACCTGAGGACCATTGCCTGGGGGCAATTCAATTCAGAATCCTATCAGTCTATAGGCAGAAGCACTTTCTGGAGGCTTTTTGAGTGATGTGATTAGTCAGAAAGAACCTTTAACACTGTCCTGTACTAGACATTGCAAGGTGTAG